TCCCTTTAACACATTCTATTTTCCATACTTCACTTCAGTATACTCATACACATACTGACTTAAGCATCGGAGGCTCTTCACTGGACACAACCCCCGGTGTGAGAGTTATTTACAGGTTTCCAGCGTTCTACCGGCGAGGACTAAGATCTATCCGTTCAAACCGGACCGGGACGCTTATGCTTGCATTATTGGTGCCGTCTGTGGGAACTTCCTTGTTCAAAAAGTTGTGTTTGAAGCTCAGCTATGGCGGACGGAGTTCCTAAAAACTTACAGTCAAAGTTCGACGAAGCTTGGACGATGACCAGGCCGTTGGGGCACGGCCCTCCTCCGGGTTTTTCCGGCCCATCGCAGACTCCGATCACTCCCGCACCTATCCTTCAGGGTGTGGGAGTGACGACGGTGATTCCCGGAGGAGATGCCAGCTTCGGTCGGACCCAAGAGGCTCGTGTAGCAGCAGCAGCGGCGATGCCACCACCACCACCACCAGATCCAACGCAAGGGCAGGGAGGAGTGCTGGCGCAAGGAGGAGTGCCACCACAGGCAGCCGTACAAGCCCCCGGCCAACAAATGGTGGTGATGACCCGAGAAGAGATGCAGAGGATAGCGGCGGCCGCGGCGGCGCAGGCGGTACAACAAGTTGCAAGTCATACATCTCATGCCACCACTGCGCCGGCCACGGTGGCCAGAAGCCAGGATGAGGATGTGTCTAGTTATGGAGAAGGAGGAGCTGGAAGAGATCAGGCAATGGAGAGAATGGCGGAGCAGTTGCGCCAGCTGCAAGACAAGGTAGAGGGGAGGCCAGAGAGGAGGGCTCGAGGACATCCCTTTTCAAGGGATATTCCCGCTGCTCCTTTGCCAAATAATTTCAAGGAGACCAACTTGGTGTATGACGGGTCATCTGACCCATCAAGGCATGTGAGAACCTTTGAAAATATGGTTGTGTTGCATGGGTACTCTGATTCTGTTTGTTGTAGGGCATTTTTATCGACCCTGCATGGAGGAGCACTCGATTGGTTTCACCAGCTTCCCCCTGGGTCGATCGCAAGATTTGAGGACTTTACTGGCAAGCTTATCAATCAGTATTCGAGCGCGGTGGTGCAGGAGAAAAAGTATTTGACTTTGATGGCGATGAGGCAGGGGGAGAAGTAATCATTGAGGAAGTATGTTGCTCGATATAATCAAACATGTTTAGAGGTGCACTCGGCTTCGGACGAGGTAAAGGAGGGTGGATTGATAAGGAGTTTTCGAGCAGGGCCTTGTCGAACTTCCCTGGCAAAGACCCCTGCTCGATCATATGAGGATGTTCTGAAGCGGTGCAGGAAGTATATTAACTTGGAGGAGATGGAAATGGAGTTTGCAAAGCTGGAGGGAGTGGCTCGACCAGAGCCAAAAAAGGAGAAAAGTCCACAGAGGGGGAGATCGCCTAGGAGGAGTTCGCCCAAACGGAGTGGGCAGAAGAGGGCATCACCCCGAAGAGAGAGTCGAGATTCGAAAAGGGAAAAGAGGGGCGAGTGGCAGAGGAGGCCGATGTTGTTCGAGAGGCAGAGATATCATACATTCACACCCTTGAGGAAAGATATGACAGAGGTCCTCGAGGCCATGGAGCAGAAGATGCCGAGCGAGGATGTGACTTGGCCGAAGACGAGGTTTACAGGCTCAATTTGACCTAGGTCGGATATTTACTGTTGCTTTCACCGAGATTATGGTCACACCACGGAGAACTGTAGACATTTGAAAGACGAGATCGAAAGGTTGATTCGAGCGGGATATTTGAAAGAATTTGTGTATCATGATAGGGTAAAAGGGAAAGGGAGGAGAAGGTGTAGGGAAGACTCGGAGGAAAGGAGTGATAGAGATGAGGAGGGAGATGGTCGAGACGGTCGAGGAAAGAAGCCAAGGAGAGATGGTGATAAGGGAGGGCATGGAGGAGAGGCCCCGATGAAGAGAGGGACGATTTACATGATTTCCGGTGGGCCAATGGATGGTGACTCAAATAGGGCCAGGAAGGAGCATGCTCGAGTGGTGAAGAGGAAGAGAGAGGAGGTGGGGATTACGGCCCGCATGCCGGTGATAAGTTTTAAGGCGGAGGATGCCGAGGGGGTCTGCCGCACAATGATGCTTTGGTGATAACCGCGGAGGTTGCAGGCTTCGATGTGAAGAGGGTGTTCATTGACACCGGGAGTTCGGTAGATGTGATGTTCTATGACTGTTTTGTGCAGATTAACAAGGAGTTGAATGCGGAGTTGAAACCGGTGACCACGTCACTCTATGGCTTTAATGGGGGAGAGGTGATGCCGATGGGCGAGGTAAGTTTGCCGGTGGCGCTCGGAGTGGGAGAGTTGAGGAAGGTGCGCATGGTGAGGTTTGTGGTCGTAGGAGCTGAATCATCTTATAACATCATTATGGGACGGACAAGCTTGAATGCGTTCTAGGCAGTCGTATCCACGTACCACATGACGATTAAATATCCGGTGGGCGAAAACGTAGGAGAGATTTTCGGGGACCAGCTCACTTCGAGGAGCTGCTACCAAACGACGGTGAGCAATAATAATAAGCAACTGGCGAAAAGGCGGGCCAAGTTAGAGGAGGAGGGGATTAATCGACCAGGTGGGTCGAGGTCGAAAGAAGATAAGCAGAGAATGGACAAGGGTAAGGAGAAGATGGATATTCAGCCAGGGGGAGAGGTGGAGGAGATTCAGATGATCGAGGGGTGTGAAGAGAGGAAGTTCAGAATCGGAAAAGACTTGGAGGAGCCTATCCAGTCGAGGCTTATCGATATGGTCAGGGAGTTCGCGGACATTTTTGCCTACACTGCGGAGGAGTTAACGGGGATAAGTGCGGAAGTGATCGAGCACCGGCTGAACATCGACCTCAATGTGAGGCCGGTGAAGAAAAAAAGAAGACACCATGGGGCCGAGATGGACAAAATCATTGAGAAGGAGGTCGAGAAGTTATTGGGAGCAGGGCATATCAAGGAAATCCAGTTCCCCGAATGGTTGTCAAATACGGTGATGGTGTCGAAGGCGGAGAGAAAATGGAGGATGTGCATTGATTTTCGTGACCTGAACAAAGCGTGCCCGAAGGATCTATACCCGCTGCCCAGAATCGACCAGCTGGTCGACTCAACGGCCGGGTGCGAATTACTGAGCCTGATGGATGCCTCCCAGGGATATCATCAAATTCCCTTGGCAAGAGAAGACAGGAAGCGTGTAAGTTTTGTAACAAATCGAGGGACCTATTGCTACGTGGTCATGTCGTTCGGTCTAAAGAATGCGGGTGCCACATATCAAAGGTTGGTCGATAAAATTTTCAAGGAGCAACTGGGAAGGAACATGGAGGTATATGTGGACGATATGTTGGTGAAGAGCAAGGAGGAGTTAGATCATGTGCGAGACCTGAGAGAAACATTCCTAACATTGCGAAGATATGGGATGAAATTGAATCCTGCTAAGTGCTCTTTTGGGGTGAGATCGGGGAAGTTCTTGGGCTACTTGGTGACCAAGAGAGGTATTGAGGTGAATCCGAAGAAGGTTCGAGCTGTCATGGAGATGAAGCCGCCGACGAATGTTAAAGAAGTACATATCTTAGCTGGTCGAATTGCGGGGCTGGGCCATTTTATATCAAAGGTGGCGGAGAAGAGTGGTCCGTTATTTAAAACATTGAAGAAGAGTGCAAAATTCCAATGGACGGAGGAGCCGCAGGGGGCCTTTGAGGAGCTGCGAAGGGTGTTAGCCAACCTTCCCCTATTGGCTAAACCGGTGCAGGGCGAGGAGTTGGTGCTATACATTTCTATAGGAGACAGGGCGGTAAGCTCAGTATTGTTACGGGAGGAAGGAGTAGCGCAATTTCCTATCTATTACGTGAGCAGGGTGATGCAAGGGGCGGAAATTAGGTATTCAGAGATCGAGAAGTGCGCTTTGGCTGTGGTCGTAACCGCTCGAAAGTTGAGACCCTATTTCTTGAATCATAAGGTGAAGGTGCGAACAAACATGCCGCTGGGAGAAACACTTGGCCGACCATCGGTCTCCGGTCGATTGGTGAAATGGGCGGTCGAGTTGAGTGAATATTCTTTATTGTATGAACCAAGGAGGGCCATAAAGGCGCAGATGTTGGCCGATTTTATCCAGGAAGGCACGAAAGTCGAGGGGGAGTTAGAAAGAGTATGGCAGCTATTTGTGGATGGATCAGTGGCGCGAAGTGGGGCAGGTTTAGGAATAGTCCTTGTTTCCCCTAAAGGCGATTACTTGGAATTTGCAGCTAAAGTGGGGTTCAAAGTATCCAATAATGAGGCCGAATATGAAGCAGTAATCAAAGGCCTGAGTTTAGCCAAGGCGGGAGGAGCTCGAAAAGTACAAGTGCATTCTGATTCCCAACTGGTGGTTGGGAAATTTCAGGAGGGATTTGAAGTCAAGGAGGATCGGATGCAAAAGTATGTAGATAAAATGAAGAAGTTGAAGGAGGAGTTCGATTCATTCGAGCTGATACAAATTCCTCGAGGAGAAATTGGTCGAGCGGACCTACTATCGAAAATCGCTCAGAGCTTGGTGGACTGCAAGAGCAGAAGTGTCACTCTATTGCATCTTGAAAGGAGTATGGTCGAAGCAGAAGTGGCGGAGATCGAAGAAGTGGAAGATTGGAGGGCCCGAATCTTGGAGGAGCTGAAAGAAGGAGCGATAAAAGTGGTGAGGAGGTTTTTCGAGCAGGGAGGCATTCTTTATAAGCGGTCATATGGGGGGCCCCATTTACGGTGTGTTACTAAGGAAGAAGGTCGATACGTGCTGAGAGAGATGCACGAAGGATGCTGCGGTGATCATAGCAAGTCGGGGGCTTTGGTCGCAAGGATTTTAAGAGCGGGATATCTTTGGCCAACGATGAGGGAAGATGCGAAAGCAATGGTGAGGAAGTTCTTGCAATGCCAAAAACATGGCCCTCTTATCCACCAACCAGCATAAGCAATGACAACGATGAGTGCTCCTATACCATTCGCCCAGTGGGGCATCGACTTGGTGGGGCTGATGCCTCAGGGAACCGGGCAGATGAAGTTCTTAATAGTGGCGGTCGATTATTTCACAAAATGGGTGGAAGCCGAGCCCTTGGCAAAAATAACAGAGGACAAAGTAATTAAATTTCTATACAATAACATCTGCTGTCGGTTTGGCATACCCAAAGTGTTGATCTCCGACAACGGCACTCAATTCAATGGTAAGAAGATTCGAGCGTGGTGTGAGGACATGAAAATCGAGCAACACTTTGCTTCCGTTGCTCATTCGCAAGCCAATGGCCAGGTCGAGGTAACCAACCGGATTATATTGAGTGGGTTGAAAACAAAATTGGAGAAAGCCTCGGGAGCATGGGTCGATGAACTGAGTTCTGTACTTTGGGCATATCGCACAACCCCGAGGTCGACGACAGGAGAAACCCCGTTCAGCTTAGCTTATGGAATGGAAGCGTTGCTGCCGGTCGAGGTCGAGTTATCATCCCAGAGGTCGAGCACGTATGATGCTGAACAGAACGAGGAGCTGATGATGGCAGCTTTAGATACTATTGAAGAGCTGCGCGGGAAAGCATCAATCAGGGTGGAGGCATACACGCAAAGGATGTGAGCTGCCCACGACAAAAAGGTGAAGATTCACAGACTCCAAGTGGGCGACCTGGTTTGGAAGCGTGTCGATGTGCTCAAGCACGTGGGAAAGCTGGAGCCGAATTGGAAGGGCCATATCTGGTCGAGCGAGTGCACGCAGGAGGAGCATACTCGCTGAAAGATGCTGAAGGCCGATCGCTTGCCAGGTCCTGGAACATAGCTAATTTGAAAAAATATTATGTGTGAAAATTGGTTGTTGGGAAAAGGTCCCCCAAACATTTTTGTTTCTTTTTTTTTTTTAAAAAAAAAGAGGAAAGTTGAGAAATTCGAACGAAGATGTAAATTGCAAAGTTTGCCCAAGAAACAATGAAGTTCAATGATTTTTCTGATTTTATTCGATTTATTGTACACTTTCTTATGCTTGGAATGTTGGTATAATCTGGATGACAGGATGTGTGTGTGGTACAGTTTGACCTGGAAGTCGCTTGTTTAGAACATTCCTTGGGGTGGGCAGGTTGGTCGAAGACCTCCTGTTTAGAACATTCCTCGGGGTGGGCAAGTGTGAAGACCAA